TCCAGCACCCATGACTCCCAAGGGAATAAAATTTGGGAAATTGTAGTTGCTCCCATGCTACTGACTCTGACTCTTCATATGATCTTCATTTTCAACTTTCTGTGACAGTTTTTTAGTCAGTCCCACAATCCCTTGCTCCCCCTTCACCAGCAACAAGGAATTTACTCAGCATGTGACTTTTAAAAAAGCAACAACTTTAAGGTGTACAAAGAAAAGCCTTGATAATTTTATTGGTTTATGTGCCCTTCTGTGATGCACAAACATGCACATATTCCATCTTTGTTCCGGAATTCAAGGCACATACATACTAGTTTATCTTCCAATATTTTTTCACAACCCTGTGAGATACGCTGAGCTGAAAGTCACCAAGTGAGCTGCTGTAACTATAGATGAAATTGATTCTCTCTGACGTCAAATACTCCAGCCATTGTAATTTAGTCCTTGCCCATCCAAGTTCATTTTTCAAGTGAGAGAGCAATTTGGATGATTGCTGGTGAAATAGGATTGGCTAGTGGGCACCAGCAGTCAACATATGAGCTTTCTTTCTCTCTGGAGAGAGAATGGGAACATGGTAGAATGAGAAGTGGAGGTGCAGTTTTCCTTGTAGTCCATGGTTCCCTTTGTTTTCCCTCCCAATAACAAAGTGGCAGGCAGTTCCGCAGGTCAGCCAAGGAGAAGGAGGAGGAAGAGGTAATGGTGCAAGCCTATAATATGTGGAAAGACGAAGAATGAGAGAGCACCTGTGATGCCTGCTGACCAAATAGGGTTGGCTGTAGGTGCTAGCAGTGCACAAATGATCAACATTAGCGCATTCAAAAATGATATTGTTGTGATTTCATGAATTACACTCAATTTATCGTAGGATGAAGATGTACATCCTCAGCAGACAATCATGCTTTGCTCTCACTATACATAAAGTGCAAGGACAAACCATGGAATTCCAACATGGTTACTTTAAGCTGAGAAAAAGAAAACATTAGAGTATTCTTAAAAAATGGCAGATCAACCACCAATTATGTCGTCAAAAATATTTTTTGTTAGATGAATGAAGCATCTATATTTGTCTTGCTATGCGTGTTCTTTCTTTAATAAAATGATCTTTCCTTTTCTTTTAATCTTAAAACCAAAACAATAGCAATGCAGCTGTGGTCATTCTTTCTTTTTTAGGTAAGGAAATATCTCGAAAAGGATGACCCATTGGGTCACTGGTTGTGTAGTAATTTACTAAAATCTTAATAGCCACTCAATTAATCATATGGCAATTCTGACAGTGCTTCAATTTTTTAAAATATAAGTATGTAAAAATAATTTTGCTGGCATGCACCAAGTGACATGAACTACCCTCTTTTCCCAACCATTGTGTTCTATTGCAGTAGTTTACATCCTTTTGACTAAACAATAGCATTACACTTTTTTTTTAAAAAAAAAATCTACATTATGCTCTCTGGCATCCAGAGATTTGTTTATTTATAGGTTTGGCAAAAGAGTCCCAAATTCGGGCACTTAAGTATAAATTAAGTGGGGGAGATGGAAATACAAATTAAGGAAATATCTAAAGTTGCAAACCCTTGAAAATAAATAAGATTAAACAAATCACTTGCTTGCAAGCTATAATGCATAAAACTTTAAAGCTTTTCCCACTGCTTTTAATTAAACAGTTCCCATTTCAGTCTAAGTGTGTATGCCATTTTAGAAAGAGAGGGTAAAATTGTCAGAATCAAAGGTATCTTTGTAAATTAATGAGAGAGAATGTTGCCAAACACCATTGTCCTTCCACCAGAGGGCATCCTTAGTAAAATATTTCTGTCACAGAAAAAAAATATATCTTTAGACCTTATCAACAAGGCCAATTACATTTATTACACCCCTTTCTTTATTATATCCAATATCAAAAAATTCAAACTGATAGGCCTAATCCCTTATATCACTGTTATAAAAAACCATTCGAGAAAACCATTGTTGGATGCATACGAAATAAAGCTGAGCCTTCAGGAGTATAACTGTCACTGTGAGTAGATTTTTATTTTACCCATATTTGAATTCAACAAATTAAGAAGGATGATAAGATTTTTATTAATTATACAATATTTTAACAGGCTACATTTGAATACCAGAAAACAAATGTGAAGATAAGTGGAAGATGTTTAATATAAACCTGCCAGTTATTCAAACTGATAAGATGTGTGAAGACAGAAACAGGTGTTAAGCAAAACTTCACATTTAATAATTTTTAGACTCTGTTCCATGTGTTTGCCAGCCAAGCTGCATTAATAATACATATGTTTTTATTTCTTGCTTAACACACCATCATGCTCTTCAACCTTCTCCAGATTATATTCCTCTCCTAACCCTCTGAAATAGATTTGGCACAGCTGTGGACTCTGTATCTCCAGCAATAAGCAGATATCATTTAACATCATTTTGTATAATATAATGACTAAATTGTGACACTTTCCATTTTATTGTGACATTTTATTATACAAAGAAAGTAGATACAGCCCCATTTGCTAAGCTTTGGTTGCTTTGCTGATTTGATTGCCTAAATGTCCCACTTCATAACTTAAAAGGGCATATTCTTTTGGCAAGAAGTGTTCGGACAATTTTGTTTTACTGCAGCATAAACTATGAGAATGCTAGGTGGTGTTTGCACTGCGCAACTGGGTCAGTCTATGCGTCAAAAAAATGGAGGCAGACATGGAAATCCTAAAATTAATTGTCAGCGTCTCGTAAAACCCTATTTTCTTTGCAAAGTGTGTTGCTCTTGGAAAACCTGGAGATGGCGAATCTTGACTGGCTCCTTTTGGTTTCCATGGCACCCACTCTTCATTGACTTCACTGTAATGAGTCCGCCCAATTCCCCTAGAACGTTGATGGTGGAGGAAAGCTTCCGATTGCGCTCTCCGTGGTGCTGAAAACAATCTAGAGGACACTGTATTGACACGGCGCTGTTGATGGTGCTGAAATCTCTGAGGGCAGGGGGGAACATTGAAGAGGACAGACAGTAGAGAAGAGTCACCCATTTGCGCTATGTGTGATCCTCCCACATTGACTTTAATTTACTCTTTCCAGCCCTGGAGGAAGTAGCTGATGTATTGCACACAAATAATGAAATGTTAGTGCTGCCTCTGTGCCAGAGCATGTAGCACAGTTATCAGGGATTCACCCAAACTGGTGTGAGGTGAGCACTGGTAAGGATTCTATGCATATGGGATTTATTGTCTTTGACGACTCTCTACCTCTATATACACAACTACAGCAAAATAATCCACACCAGATCAGGATTATATTTACATTAGACTTTCAATCAAAGCTCCTTCAAAGTATCAATGGTTTTGCTTGTCGTTTTGCTAATGGATTCTTCATCTTTAAAGAGGACCTTTTAGTTCCGTCTCACAACTTCTGTTCTTTTAAGAAACCCATGGGCTTCAGGTAGACACTCAATCTTCTCCTTTTTTTCCCCTTCCTGGCTCTGTTTTTTTCCTCCTCACCCACAGATATACATCTACAGTGTCTCTCTCCTCTCTCTCACACACACTTTCCCTTACACACATTCACACACACACACACCTGCACAAAGACTTTGACTCATCCTTTTCTCTGGATGCACAACATTCTTTTATGGAAAAAAGTTTAATATGGAACCGATATGATCCATCTTCGAGGCTTGTAAGGACATCCTTGTTAACCCGGTGAAAGGCAGTTGAAATCTTTACAGGAATGGAGTCGGTAAAACAAAGGATTCTGACTCCTGGGAAGGAGAAACTGAAAAATCTTGCTGGGAAGTCACTCGGTCAAATCTATAGGTAAGGATTTTTTTTGTGTGTGTTTTCATTAAAAAAATGAGAATAACATGATGCTTCCATAGTGAGGTTCTTATTTCCACTTCTTATTATAGAGGATTCTATAATAATGTATTCATGATCTATATCTAAAGCTATGTGTTTATTTTCATTGTGATGCTTCAATATTGTTAATGAGGACTCTAAATTCAGAAGAAGGAAAGGAAGGAAGGAAGGAAGGAAGGAAGGAAGGAAGGAAGGAAAGAAGGAGGGAAGAATGCTTTGGATATGTGACACCTTCTCCTAAACATACTTGCTTGTAAGAGGAGAAATTTGGTTTCAGTAAAAGATGTGTCCTTAAGAACCCCAATCTTAAAAATCCGGTGATTCAGGTCTGAGATGCTAGAATGTTATTCAGACAAATGTATATGGGGGAGGGGTAATTTATACTTTGAAATGGAAAATGGTTTCATTGAAAAAAAGATAACAACTGAGAATAATAGGAAAACCTTTACCCCATCTTTTCTTTTCCTCTTCCCCCATAAAAAATGAATAAATAAGAGTTTTGATCTGCACTGCTCAGTCCCCCATGAATGATCTTTTTATATGAGAAAAAACATGGAGATCATAAATAATTGATAAATGAATGCCTTTTCTCTAGTTAATTTAAACATGCTCAAAAGAGAGACTAGAAAAAAATCACATCAAAGATCTGCATATCCTTTTTTGAGAAATCTCTCTCTCTCTCTCTCTCTCTCTCTCTCTCTCTCTCTCTCTCTCTCTCTCTCTCTCTCTCTCTCTCTCTCTATATATATATATATATATATATATATATATATATATATATATATATATATATATATATATATATATATATATATATATATATATATATTGGAAAAATAGTGATGCATACATGTAAATCTATCTGCAGAGGAGGCCAATTTTTTGTAGAGCAATTGATGATATCTATGACTATTAAACAAATCAATGCAATTTCAACATAATGTCATATAGTTATGTGTGAATATACCTTCTTAGGATCTTAATCTTTCCAGAGCAAAATATATTTTTTTAAAAAAACTTCTTGATGGTCAAAATGGCGGGATCAACCTGCAGCTGCAGGTCAGCTGTTAGCATTTAATCAGCAAAGCTTCCATTGCGGCAATTCTAACCCTCGTTACAACACTGAAAATATTCTTATTATCTTTCCAGAGTTTCAATGGTATTAATATCCAGGAGGCACGTAACAATTTCTGTGTGGGAGTTGAATCTATTATCAGTCCAGCAATGAAGGAAGGTCTAGGTCACACATTTATCCCATCTGTAACCAATTATTAGAAGTTGCTTTAAAAAAGAGCATGTTGTGTTTATATTATTATTATTCAATTTTAATATTCTGTTGTCATCTTTAACATGGATGAACCGTGTATACATTTTTAAATGGCACACCTACGCAAACATGACTGCTTTTGGCACTGTATATTCTGCTTTTCTGATTACCCAGAAGTCAATCATATGAAACGATCCTGGGATATTTAATTTCATATTTGGAATAGAAATTATTCCTCTTTGAAAAAGGAGATTCTTTGATCCCTTAATTCTAATAAGGTTATCTCTTTATTTTAACAGATTTTTGCATTGTTTTCTCCCACAAGAACTCAACTGGGAGAGGTTTTATTTGTCATTGGGTGGGGAGAAGACAATGCAAAAATCGAATATTGTCCGATGTTTGTGTTCGGCAGATTAAATTAGAATGGTTTATTTGATGATTGTGTTCTACTACTGTAATCCAGGGCAGAACACTTTGTGAAATTCGATTTTCATCAGAGATTCAGGATGGGGTGGGAGAATCTTGTGCTAACTATTGGACTGTGAATCTCAGCTGAGAGAAAAGCTGTAAAGAAAAACTCACAACTTCTGCTCTGTCCACGGTAACTCCATCTTCAGTGTCCTAATTCTCCCAGGAATTGTTGTTACTCTCTTATTCTGAATTATTAAAAGACATTGACGTCAGCCATAGACGGTCAGTTGCACGAAACGAAAGAGGGGTCGGGAGAAATGCTTCCATCAAATATCCATGGTTTCCCTTTCTTGAAAGGGTATTGTTTGCCTCTGTTGGGAAGATAACAAAAATTTTAAAGGCACGCAACTTGAAAAGGTGTCAACTGTGTGTTTGGGTCACTGCCATGTATACAGTGTAATAAACGTTGCATGTCAAAGCCAGAGAAATTTAAAAGCATCACAATGTTTTTATTTTAGCACTAATATGAAGGGAAAACAAAATCCAGCCTGCTTAAGGCTGCAATCCTATAAATATACCCTCACCTGGAGGAAGTCTCACTCAATTCAAAGGGGCTTATTACCAAGTAGACTCACTCAAGGGATGAAGCTTTCATTATTAATAGACAGGATAGCTTTCTATCTTATTCTAATGGCAGGCAGACTAATTTGCAGAAAATGCCCGGGTGCAAGATTTTCTCCAATGGAAAAGTGGCCGACAGCCATTTTGAGATCTGAAAGACAACCACACACCTGCCAATTGTGTAGATTAGCTCCCTCAACAAGTAAGATTCCCTACCGGGAATACCATTATCTAAGCTTGCATGCTTTCCCTTCTCCTGTTTGCCATGCAATTTATAGAATGATTGAAGCTGCAAGATCAAGTCTTCTTGGAGCTTGGTAACAAAGAGCATCTCTGTAGCTGTGGAAGGAGGAGGTGCGTCTTAGCACCTCCTCTACAACGTGGAATAGTAAATTAGAATTAATTTTTTAAAAGGCCATTGACTGTTTTCTTTGAAGTGTATACAGTTAGATAGGTAGGATTCGGGACTTCCTAATGGATGGGGAAAGTATCCAGTTAGCCTAGCTTTTGAGGAGGGGAAAAGTGGCTGTCCTGCTCCTCTAAGGCCCTTAGTTCCTCCCTTGGAAATGCCACCAATTATTTGGGAAATCTTAGCCAGGATTAGCATTTTCATCCCACCCACTCCCATGCCCTTCAAGAAGTAGTACAGAAAATCGGATTTATTTTAATCCCACCTCATTACATTTCTAGGATTTAGGGACTGGTTACTTATCCATCAAGTAGGAAAATAATTTTTGTACATTTTTGGGTGCCTTTAAAAAAAAACAACAACCTAGAATTACCAATAGTTATCGGGACTATTTTGTTTTGGGTCAATCTCTAAATCCACAGCACTCTTTTCGACGTATCCCGCACACAATTCAAAGAGAGTATTATTACAAGCCCCCCCCCGCCGCCTTCTCCCGGTAAGCAAGTAGATCCCTTGACTGAGCTCTCTTTTCTGATTTGACAGAGTCCTAGAGAAAAAGCAGAAGCCCGAAGACAACATCGAGTTGACGGAAGATGGGAAACCCCTGGACGTGCCCGGGAAAAAAGCGCCTTTGTGCGACTGCACCTGCTTCGGGTTACCTCGGCGATATATCATCGCCATCATGAGCGGACTGGGTTTCTGCATTTCCTTTGGAATCCGCTGTAACCTTGGAGTAGCCATTGTGGACATGGTCAACAACAGCACCATCCACCGAGAAGGGAAAATCATCAAAGAGGTGAGCGAGTTCCAGGAAGAATCCTCCCCTCTGCGCACAGAGGATTCCCGAATGCCTTTCCCGACATCCAGGTTGGGAAGCCAAAGGCTCTACCCATCGCCCCTTAGGTTGTGGTTTGAATTATTCCCGTGTTGGAGGAAAAGAGGCGGGTCTTTAGAACAAGATGCAAAGCATTGCAGAGTAGAGGTCAAACAAGGGTGCCTTCGGAATGGCGAGTCCCTCTTCTTCCTTTTACTTCCCACCCCTTCTTTTTTTTCTCTTTGTCTCTCTGCCATTTCCCATAGCAGTGACTGAGTTTTCCTTACATTGGTTGTGTTTGTTGATTTTCCTGTTAATGACAGCCTGGCCCCCGGTCCGAATTAAATAAACATACATCCCCCTTTCATCACCTCGCCCTTCTTTCTCCTCTCGAGGAGCACCAAATGTAGGAGCCTTCCCCTTTCCCTACCGTTTTCACAAAGCCTCCCAGAGGACTGTTTGGACTTCAGCTCAGATCACCCCAATCTTTTAAGTAACCATTTGAGACACCCCGTTTTAGCTCCCTGACACTCCGCTAAACCTCCATATTCTACTGCAGAAGACCAAAAGAAAAAGTGAAAACACCCTCGAACTCGGGTCGGCTTCTGATGACCTCCTGGACACGGTCATTTTTTGGCAACGGTACAAAAGGTGATTCTCCCTTTCTCTTCTTCAAGGATAGCGATCCATTTCCCAAGCTTTGGAAGATATTGGAAAAAGACTACCTGGAATGGAATTGCAGGTGGTTAGTGAGAGGAGGGTGGGGGGAAAGATCAGGAAATCCCAGGACTATATAGGCCAGATTACAAAAGGTAACCGAACCATCTGGAAGAAGAGAATGACAAATCGCGACTCTGCCCGTTGCCATTCAATCTGCATGGCCGGGGTCCACGAAGCCATCAGGAGTCGAGTGCGATCCAAAGGACACCTCAGTCTGCTCCCCTAAAATGAGACTTCAGCTCCCCCCCCATTTAGGAGTGTTGATTGAAGTTCCAGTGTTTAAAAATGGTACCTCCATCCGTGTTTTCTTGTATTTCGCAGGATTGCACAGCCTGTGGATTGAAAGATAGAACGTACCCTTGTAAAAGGAGGCGGCCCCGCTAGCAATCGCCTCCCTCCCTCGTTTACTTGAATTAGAGGCGTCCCAGGTGCTAAACCTGACACCTAAATACGTTATGGACCTGCCTCGCTCTAAAATCGAAGTGGGACAAGGATGTAGCTATTATCTCGGCCCATCTACTCTTTCAGGTCGATAATAAATAATGATTACGAAACTAATTCGCCTAAAAAAACGAAACATCGAAAAGGCCTGGAAAATGTTGGGAAACCTTGGCGTTCTATACATACATACATACATACATACATACATACATACATACATACATACATACATTGAAAAAGCAAAAGGGGGGCGGGGAGGGAACCTTCATTAAGTTATGGGGAAATTCAGATACCCTACGGCAACTGGAGGTCCCTAACCTCAGAGCGTTGGGGTGGTAGAAGGGTTAGAGGTGCACAATATCAAGGTACAATCTTGACGCAAGCAAACATTTTCTCCAGGGAGAAAAGGCAGGAATAATTATGTCGAATAATAGCCGAACTTCGCCAATGATCTCTCCCGATCCATCAAGAATAGAACCGAGTCAATAAATGGCAAGACGAGTCTCTGTCGTTCGGTTTTGGCTCAGACCGAGCGAGTTGGCTCAGACCAAGCGGTTGCTCAGCTGGTGTAACCTTGTGTGATCTTTCCTTTCAGCGGAGGATCACAGCCGCTTTGGTATTATTATTATTATTATATATTATTATTATTTATTATTATTATTATTATTATTATTATTATTATTTTGTCTTGTTTATCGGTCAGTCGAGTCAGAATTGGATGTGTCATAAAGACCCGTCTCTTCGCCCCCGTAGGTTACCAAATAAATAAATCAACAGACAACAGAACAGTTAATTACAATGACAATCACGGGGGCTCTTAGTACCCTATCCTAACGACTCTATTTCGGGTGCAACCCGACCATTAATAAAAAGAGACAAACGACTCGGGATACTTGTTGAACATAGCAGAATAAAGGGACAACAACTCCCATGTGGTTACGACAGACAACCACGGATAGTGTAATTCCGTAGGATTCCCGCCTCGCCCCAACCTCTCTTTAGAAATGGTTTGATTTAGCCCGGTTTTTATTTCCCCCACCACCAACTCTCTCTCTCTCTCTTTTTCTCTCCCCTCCCTCCCTCTCTCTCTCTCCTTTATCGCTTTGGAAGAAAGCGAAGTTCAACTGGGACCCAGAAACAGTTGGCATGATCCACGGTTCCTTTTTCTGGGGATATATAATCACGCAGATCCCCGGGGCTATATTTCATCCAGGCTGGCAGCTAACAGGTAAGCGCAGCAACCAACATCTATCTCTTCTCCGCTTGCGATGTGGAAGTCAAGGTAGTCTTGCTCGCACCGCACTGTGTTGGTTTTTTTTGGGTGGGGGCGGGGGAAAGGGAGGGAGAGCTGTAAGCCCCCCCTCCCTTCCCCAGGACTGGTGCACAATCTCACAAGTTGCATACTTGGGCTTCTTCGCCGGTTCTGCTTTGCGCACAGGGGGCGGGGCAAAATGTCTTCCTTTAGATCAGTGTTTCTCAACCTTGGAAGCTTGAAGATGGGTGGACTCCAACTCCCAGAATCCCCCAGCCAGCAGCGCTGGCTGGGGGATTCTGGGAGTTGGAGTCCACCCATCTTCAAGCTACCAAGGTTGAGAAACACTGCTTTAGATAGAATCACAGCAGGTCCTTACGGGAAGAAAGAAGCAAACAAGTTGAGTCCCCCCCCCTTTTTTTTTCCTGAAGGACCTTCGCTTCTCCCTGGCTGCACGCTTTCAAGAGAAATCGGGAAACCAGTAAAAAACGAGGACGGGACTGAATAATAACAAAAAACGTATTTAAATTGCGCAGGCCAGGCGGCCAAAAATTCCCTCTTCTAATTGAACAATTCAAAGCTCAGGAATCCCGTTCTCTGGTCTTTAATGGCGGGTGGCCTAAAGCAGGGAACTCCAACCTTGGCAACTTTAAGCCTGGAGGACTTCAACTCCCAGAATTCCCCAGCCAGCTTTGCTTTGCTGGCTGGGGAATTTTGGGAGTTGAAGTCCGCCAGGCTTAAAGTTGCCAAGGTTGGAGATCTCTGGCCTAAAATATCATTTGATAGGATAGGATAGGATAGGATAGGATAGGATAGAATAGAATAGAATAGAAAATAGAATAGAATAGAATAGAATATAGAATAGAATAGAATAGAATAGAATAGAATATAGAATAGAATAGAATAGAATAGAATATAGAATAGAATAGAATATAGAATAGAATAGAATAGAACAGAACAGAACAGAACAGAACAGAACAGAACAGAACAGAACAGAACAGAATAGAATTCTGTATTGGCCAAGCGTGATTGAACACACAAGGAATTTGTCTTTCAGTTTGAAACGATGGGATCGTTTCCCAAGTAAGCTATACACTGTACGTTTGCACTCCTTGAACCCGTTGGTTTGGCTCTGCTTCAAGTCACGGGGCGGCCTTTAGCTTTATTCTCCAAAGATCATCATTACGGTGTTCCCGCATTTTAACCCAGGGGTTCTCTGTGCCACGTTCTCTAAGCCGATCCACACCAAAGACCTTTATCGTTGGGAGAGGTTTTTTTTAAATTATTATTTAGAGAGGGAGAAGGCGGGGCTTAAAAATACCGCGGTATCGACCGTCTCTGGCGCCCAGCCCAGAATAGGTCGGCTTGGTTTTAGTTAACAAAGCCTTGTTTTCAAACGACTAGAATTGCCGCTCTTCTTAAATGTTGCTACCATTACTATTATTCGAATAGAGCTGGATAATCCAAATATAAAATCTATTTATTTTTTTTCCCCCGTTTGGTTCTAAATGGCATATTATCGCTGCTTTTGCAGCTGATTATCGAATAGGGCTCTATGTTTAAGGCATATTTTGCTTGTTGCATCATTTCACCTGTCTCTCTCTCTCCCCTGGATTTTCTCTCTCGCCTCTCTCTCTCTACCTGGATTTTCTCTCGATCAGAAGTTGTTTAGAGAG